ACTTATTTGCATAACTAGCGGCCATCACATATTGGTTTGCTGTATAAAGCCCTAAGTGAACATTTTGACGCCAAAAGTGGTCTTTTACGTGTCTCGTCAATGAAGACTGATGCTTGCGGTTTCTCCTCTTGGCACGCATGGAAGCCTGTTCCAAAAAAAACTGTTCTGGGAGTGATGCGGCAATGTTTCTTAAAAACTTCGAACGCCAGATGATGCAGAACTAACACTTTGAAGTCATTTTACAAATACCGGAGTTGATTTTCAGGGTAAATTTCCTTCATTATCACGAAAAACACATGTCACAGGCGAATATCAGATACGTGGAGGGACGTTTTTCGGTTTACTTATTTATGCTGGTGTGACCTCTAATGTTGTTTCATGGCCTTCCTCTTCCAGGGATACCTCAGCATGGAGCCTGAACCATCGCACTGAGAGGCCAATTATTTTTTTATACTGACAGTCTCGTCATCTTTGCCTATCTGCCATTTTTGTACGTTTAACACCTTTTTTAAACAATAGAAGCTTCGGAGACTTAGATGTTTTCTGCAGAGAAATCCTGCTTCTCCGAAGTGACCTAATTTGATCCACTGGCTTGAAGGGATTGCAGCTACTAGATTGATTTGGGGGTAAGGATCATATGACGAGGGGCGCACCTCTCTTCCACGCCTGTGTCATTTTCCTAATTTGCACCGTAAGAAAAGGGTATGCCTTCTGTTTGCATTGGTTACGGGACGGTTCACTCTGCTTACGCGTCGTCTTAGCTTTTGCATTTTGTAGTCATCTCGTCTGCTATTTGGTCTGAGGAAGAAGATGAGCTCTCTGGAACAGATTTATTTGGGTGCCTAAATTTCGAAGAGCTTGGTCGGCTCTCCATTGTCAAGGCGTAAAGGGCACCTAATCGACCAGGAAATGGACTGGCATGTCGTGTTGGTCGGCCTCATGCTGATCGAGTTGCCTCTTTTTGCCGCGGCCTCAGGGATGGTTGGCTAACGTTTTATCCTCGTACTTCGTGAGTCACCACTTAGTCGGAGGTGATTGGACCTCTGACGGGTCTGGCGGTTCATTTTCTTCCTCGTCCAATAAATTCGCCATGAGACTGCCTCTGTATGGCCTACTTAGGTTCTGTGTGGTCGTCTTGTCCGGAGCATTACATACGTGGTGACGCAGGACCTTGTAAGCTGAGGGAAGTTCAAGGTGCCTGTCGATGGACTTCGCATTGGAGTGCCACGCCTGCAATGTTAGTCGTACTGCTTTCGATTCCCCGGCATAAGATGGTAGCCTCTTGGAGAGCGAAAGTATGCCCACTTTCTCCAACGTGCGTTGCTAGTTGAGAGTTTCGGTCAACCTTCTTGTCGCCGGCCTGAAATTTCCGCCCGGTCCCCCAAACAGAGTTGCAGTCCCCTTTGTGGAGTACGCCAATTGTTGGCCCGTTCGCGTAACTCACACAGAGTCTGTTGGATCTAGCTGCTTTCTAGCCTGTCTACATTCAGTCGCCTGAACCGGCTTACTTCGTGCAGTACGTACGTGGAAACGGTGTAAATAAGCGCAGAATTGTAGGGAAACGCGGTTCTATAATTGGCATGATTAGCAAGATTTAGATGTAACACTTACAACCAAATGTCTCCAGGCGTACAGTCAGAAAGATGTGGCGTATAGTCAGACAGGCAGTGTCAAGTTGCGCGTGAAGAAAACGGGAGATTCAAACAAATAGTACGAGGGTTGGAGAAAAACAGAAGGTCATAATTTTCTGGGGCAAACAAGAAATTTAAAGTATACGGCAAATGGTGTCAAAAAAGGGAACAACATACGTGGGGACGTGCACCCACCCGAGACTTGCGGTTTTCGTTGGCGCGGGTATCATTCATCGCTTGGTTCGTGGTTCTCTAACAGGCGCAAACTGCGCACACGTCTCTCACTAATTTGCCTTGTTGCGTTCTCAGTACGACATCTCTCAGCCTTCCTTTTATTCGAGCAGCTTTTGCACTACGACCTTCTTCCAGTGTCCTCGTGGTGCTAATTTGTCAACTAAAAGGACCAGATCTCCAATACGGAGTTGTGGGGCCTCACCGATCCACTTTTGTCTAGCTTGCAACGATGGTGCGTAGGCACTGACTCACCTTTTCTAGAATATATCAGCCAGATGTTGGGCTTGGCGTCACCGTCAATTAAGTCTAGAGGGGTTGCATTTCTCAACAGATAATGAAAGTTTCCGAGTACTACTCAGCAAAAAGTGTTGGGGAGTGAGTACAGCGTACTCGTTCGGGTCCATACTGTTCTTAACCAGCTGCCGGTCATTCATTATCTTCTCGGTCTCGGTTATGGGTGCTACGAAGACCTCATCTGTGACCACTTGTGAGTCCAAAATTGAACGTAAAATCTGTCTGACGGACCGTATCAGGCGCTCCCATACTCCTTCCCGATGACTCGCTCTCGGTGGCGTGAAGATCCAATCGCAGCCCTTCTCCGCAAGAGAGCTAACCATTCGGTCCTGGTTCCATTTATTCAGTAATTCCTTCAGTTCGTTCTCAGCCCTCCTGGAAGTTGGGTCCGTTATCACTTAAAAGTCTTCGTGGACAACCTCTCCGGTAAACGAATCTACCGAAAACACACAGGAACGAATCAGTTCCCATGTTTGTGACCACCTCGATGTGAACTGCGCGAATGCTGGGACATGTGAACAGACAGCAATACCTCTTTTTCGACCATCTGGCTATTTTTCCCTGAAATCCTCCGAAGTAATCGACCTCGGTGAACGTTAAAGGTCGATCAAGAGGCAAAGGCGCCACCAACTGTCGATAGGGTTGTGAATGTCAGCGCCGACACACAAAACAAGTCCCAACTACTCGTTTAATGAGTGCTTGGCCTCGAATCATCCAGTATTTTTCTCGCAGGATGGCACTGGTGTGTGATATCCCAACATGGTCATTTAGCTGATGAACATTTTACACGATTACCCGACATACGAAATGGTTTTGAGGGGGACAACTGGGTGTCTTGTCTCGTACGGACTCGGTGCGTGTTGAAGTTACCCTCCCAGACCGTTGGAGATGAATGGTGAAAGATGCTTCAGTGGACTGTTGATCGCTTTCAATTTCTTGAAATCAGTGTTTCGTAGATTGCTGTGCACGCACTTAAGCTCGTTTTCGAAGAACTGTCTCTGAACCAATCTCAAGACATCGCATTCGGCACCTTATAAGTCTGCCACGGTAAGTAGTTTTGAGACGAGTTTTGGTTGCTGTGAGACCTTATTTTTCAAGAAGACTTGAAATCGTCGCAGCCAAGCAACATGCCTTAAAAGCTTCCTCCCGCTACCGCAACCCGAAAACTCCGTTAGCCAATGATCCTCAACAAGGACAGCATTTACGGTGACAATGCATATCTTTGAAACAACAATGGGTCGTCGATCTGGTTCCTTGGGCCATTCGTCTGATTTCTTGCTTAGAAAGACGGGACCCGTGAGCCACATACTCTTCTCCAGCCTGTTACCAGCTAAGACTCTCGAAGCTACGTCTGCTGGGTTAGTCTCGGAATTCACATATCGCAATTCACCTGCTTCTCTGGAGCGGGATATATTGGCCGTACAACCAGGCGTCTGGAAAAGAGAATACGCGAACACATGCCTGCCTGGCTAGGCAGAGGTGAACATCGATCGATTTTGAGTTCAATTCTCGCGCATCTAATCGATACGAACCATCAAACCGATGCTAAAGAAGCTTTTAAAGTTATCTTCCGGGCGCCGGCACCATACTCTAAAGGCCTGCGCAAACGGGCGCTAGTCACAGCCGAAGCAGTTTATCTACCAGAACCGCAGCGATGCGTTCTAGTCGTGGTATAGTTTGGACTTTAAGAGGCGCGACTCGAGATTTGT